TCGCCTGGGCCATGTGCTCGGGTCCGAGCGCGGTGACGGCCACGCCGGGGTCAGCGCCCGGGTCTCGAGGGCGGAGGTGCGCGGCGGCGGCGGCGGCGCGAAGTTGGGAGTGGGCGGGCGGGCTGGCCAGCGCCGGGAAGCCTGTCATATTCTGAGGCGGCCGGGCCTGAGCCATTGCCAAATCCGCTAATCTGAGCCCTGGCGGGTTCCTCTTGCTCACAGGGGGCTCCATCAGAACTACACAATCAGACCCATAGGCTCGCACTGGGGGACGTTTTCCCTCCGCCCGCCTTCAGAAACATGTATGTAGTAGGCGCCCTTTAACTTCTTTTGTCCTGGCCTCCACTCCGCTTATTCCCGTCCCCACTCTGTCCTCCAGCGATTGGCACAGTGAACACATCTGAGCTGCACAGTGGGACCGAGATTTTGGAAATGGCACGGGTGGGATTGGAGGGAGCCACATGATTGGCAGCAGCTTCGGCTGCCCGATTGGCTCCCGTTCAAGCCGTCGGCCCAGCGGGGGACCGCCCCCGTGCTCGCGGCCGCCTACGCTTTCGCTTTGCGCCCGCTCCGCCCCTGGAGCCGCGCGTCCCCGCCTCCCCGGGGATGTCCAAGTTGCACTTGCAGAAAGTTTGCGCGGAGCCTGCGCGCGCAGCGCCCAGCGCTCACTTGTCGCGCCTCGCGGAGAGCGTGCGCAGGCTGGCTAGAGGTTGGGGACCCCCGAGAAGCAAAGGGCGGGGAGGGAACCCCCAACTTCAAAAGACTCCGCCTCGCGGCTGGCTGCGTCCCTTCTAGCACCCAAGGTGCCTTCCAAGCACCTCCTACCGCCACTTCCTTTGGAACAGCCTCGGGCTGCTCTCTGGGGGGAGGGGGGAGAGGGGAGGGTGAACAGCCCGTCGTGATACCTGCAGTGGTGATGCTAGAAATTTCCTGCTTGGACCCCCAGTCTGCCAGGAGCTCACGTAAGATGCAGACGGAAGAGGGAATAACGAAGATTAGTAAAGTCTATTGGTTGCAAAACAACCTGAATGATTTGGTTCCGCAAAACACTAGGTGAAGTCAAAATAAATCTTCCCGCAAAGGAACCGTTTTACCTCGACTTTTTAGCTCATGGAGTCCTTTTCAACCTGGTTCAAAGGAGTTGGCTCGCAGTGTAATCTCACTACTCTTCGGTTCTAGATCTGCCACTTCCAATTAGATCTACCGGAGGGGCGGGGGACGGATATGTCGCGGCTGTTCTAACTTTTGCCTCCCCAGATGCAGTGGCAGGGCAGGCCAAACGGCATCTCTGCGGAGGGAAGCCGCCAAGTAGCAATTCCTTTATGCAGAATTTCTCCTAGTCCAGAACACGCTCCACGTGTGCGCCTCAGTTTCTTTAAAAGGACCGCAAATTAGAACTGAACTAATAAAATATTATTTAAAAATCAAGAAATAGTTTTGCTATTTATTTTAGAATAAGCTTTCACTTTCTTATCGTTTTCTAATAAACCTGTCTACCTTCGAAAGACGTCTTATTTGAAAACCATAAAAGCTGTTTGTTTTTTTAAAAGCGAGTCCTGCCACTTTCCAGCGGTTTGCTATCAAATCAGTTTAAAAAAAAAAAAAAAGAGAGAGAGACAGGTCCCGGAATCACTTTTGGAGGTCCAGAGAAATGTGAGACCTCCAAAATTAGGGGTTTTACTACCCAAAAGTGACACTTCAGAGTTTTTTTTAAAGCATTTTTGAAATCTGTGATGTTCCAAAATGTACAACAAAGTCAGAGTTTTCAGTTTTTTATTTTGCTGTCCTTCGTAAAATTATTTGTAAAAAAAAAAAAAAAAAGCGATAATAGTTTGAATGCGTTTTTTTTCCTTTTGGGATACAATAAGACATGTTCCTAGTTTGATTCGTTTGCAGTCCGAATAAAAATAGAACGCACAAAGCCATCATCTAGGTGATGGTTCTGGGAAGTAATAAGGAATATTTTCAAAAGAGTTGATTCGATAGCTCCATTTACACTGGTGTGGACAATGTTTAACAGGAGCATCCCTAAGAGCCTTGGGAATGTCATTTCTCTTATAAAAGTGACAGGCAAACAAAGACAATACTACCATCAAATTTCAAATGGGTCTTTTTTTTTTTTTTTTTTAAAGCTTCACTGAAGTTCAAATACGGGGAAATAAAAATGGTATGAGTGGAAACACAACGAAGAAATTTTAATAAGCAATAGTGACAAAATCCACATCTGTATTTGGAGAGTATGAGCCCTTTTGCAATTTTCGTTTCAAATACTTAAAATATCTCAATCTATCCAGGGAAAGGTCAATCGAGAACTGTGCCATGTCTGTGGATGGTTTATGAAGGAAGCATCATATTTGGAATTATCCCCACCTTCTTCGTTTCCTCTCAGAACATTTCAGAGGAGTTTCCTTTATTTGAATTTGTTGACAATGAGTATCAATACTTGCAGTAATGGCAGCTTTGAGTTCAATCTTGCAGTTTATAAGCAAAAACAAAACAAAAGAATGAACAAAGAAAGAAGAAAATAAATACAACCTAGCCTTTAATATGGACTGTTGAGTATTTTTATTGCGCAATAAAATGGGCACCTCCACCCTCTTCAAAATAGCTTTTCGTCAAAATTATAACTGCTTTGTTTTATTGAATTGCTGAAATTTAATGGTTTAATGGGTGAAGGCATGAAGGAAAGGCTGTAAAAATGTGAATAATGGTGCAGCAGAGCCGTGCGGAATCTGGAACCCGCCTCCTTGTACAACTCTTGTTAAACACAGCGTGATATGTATCTGTCATCGATTTAATATGTCTTAATTCAAATATAACTCCCTGATCAATTTCTTTTTATGGAAGCCTTAAAAAAGAAAAGACTTTCTTAGGAAATCACAGAGATTTGAGTAGAGATTGGAAAGAGGGATATTTACAAAGTGAGTTTAATGAATATTTGCAAATTTATGACCAAACCCAGACTCTAAAAAGATAATTGACTCAGGTAAATCGACTTGAGATGCTAATTCTTAAAAGAAAGGACTGGGAGCAAAATTTCAATCAACACCAATAAGGCGCCAATAAACCGCCTGCCAATTAAACCTGAGAATAGGCCTAGCTAGATGGTCATCAGGAAGGCTCTCGGTGGATTTCCGGGATTGCCTTTCTTTATAAAAGAGCTTTTTATTTTGTAGACGTGCTTTTTGTTATTGTGATGACCCTCCTGACCCCAGGTGCGCTGTTTCTTTTTCAAGCTACTTGGGAACCAAATCAAAATCCCTTAACATCCCGAGTTTCTAAGGACCCAATAACTGTTTCACACTTCCTAAATAAACACCAACAATTTCGAGGGCGTTGAAGAAAATTATAATACTAGTTTAAAAAGCAGGAGGCTATAGGAGTCGTTATGCCAGTTCTCCTGTGGATTCAGCCCCATATTTCGAAGTGTTGCTGGTCATCAGGGCCAATCCCCAAAACTTGCTCCTGTCTGCGCTTGTGCAGCGGAGGTGCTTTTATGGAGGCAGCAGCATGGCAAGCCTTGGAAATGCCCTTTCTGGAGTTAACAGGGGGTCTTGGGGACGTCTATTTCCAGACCTCTCAGTTGCACCCCGAACCCAACCTCCTTCCACCCGTACACAAAGGCGCCAACAGGCCGAGGAGGCGAGAGGCACAGTAAATGCCCAGCTGGCCGGCACCCGGCGGCCACGTCGCGCTCAGTTGCCCAGAGGCCGCAGGACCCGGTCTCTGGGGATGCTCCGGCTGGCGCTTAGGGCTTCCTGCTGCGCTGATGGGGGACTGCGGCTCCCCGGCTCCCCGGTGCCCTTCCTTCGTCAGTGAACACAGCCAAGTTTCCTGAGATGGGTGTGGGCAATTGATAAACTCTAAGAAAAGTGAATTGGACATTTCCTGGCTTTTGAGCCTTTGTCTTATTGTTTCTGCAGGCGGGGGCGGGAGGGGGTGACTCGGGGACGATGGGGTGAACTAGAAAAGAGCTGGGGGACCCACCGAGCCGCCTTTTATTGCCTCTGCAATTGCTTTACGACTCGCTGGTCCCTCGTGGTTTCTGCCAGAGCGGCCTCCTTGCAGAAGGGCTGGGTGCCCGGCGGGTCTGGCGCCTCTAGTGCCATTTGGGCCACGCCGGAAGCGGGTTCACGGGCGAACGGGGAGCCCCGAGTTACCGGAGGAATCGAAGGACCTTCGAAGCCCAGTCCAAGGGCGCCAATGGGTGCTCGACGGGGGCAGGGGGCGGGGGCTGGTAGCAGACACTGGGAAGGGAGTTATGGGCCACTCGGACCTCTCTAAAAGCCGGGGCAAGGTGGGCAAAGAGGCCGGAAAGCTGCCTTTTAGTCGAGCTTCGTCACGACTGAGAGTGATGGGGACTTTGGGTTCAAGGGCTTTTCTTGAATCAGGTTCGCCAGGCGTCTGGGCAGTGAGGTCCGCGGACGCCTCTCTTCGCCGCCCGCCCCGTCAGCACGAGGCAGGGACCAGGTTCCCCACCCTTCCGCCCCCGCCACTCGCGACCTGGCTCGCGTGGGAGCTGCCACTGGGCCTCGGGTGGTCTGGCCCGAATCGCAGAGGTCTGAGCGCAGACCCCCGAGCGCTTCTGCGAGCGTCGCCGCCCTTCTGAGCTCGCGCTGAATCCTCAGGCTCCACGGACTTGTGTGGGGCTAAGAGTAACCAAAAACGTTCTTCTTGCTAAAGTTGATGGTCTCTGTCACGTACGGGGACTTAATGAAGATAAGAGGCAGAAGATCGGTACTATGTGGCCGTGACTGGATGTAGGATTCCCTGGGGGGTTCTTTTGTTTTATTTTTGTTTTTGTTGTAGTTTTGCATAGTCAAGAATTGGATCTATCCCATTTCCACCTGACCTTTGTGGTTAAAAGTCATTGAAAAATGATCACTCTCTCTACTTCTCCACTACTAAAGAATAAGTTGAGTAAACTGGCCTGTCATCAAATACTCCCATTTCATTATCAATCATTTTTACTCTCAGAGATGGAGGTTGTTGGAGAAAGGCCTTTGACCTACATTTGATCATTATGATTGGTAATTTATTGGGAACACATCATTTTTGTGTTCTAAAATATGCTCAAGAGCTCAAAACAAGAATCACAAAACCTCTTTACATGTTCGCAGTTCATATAACCGCCCCAAGATATGCCTCTCCACCCCTTTATTCCATATTTTTTAGAATGTTTTTGGATGGGAGATAAAGGAATAGAGGTTGTGCAGTTAAAAAACAAATCTCAAATTGCTTTGGTAGCTCTCCCCCATTCCACACCCCTTCCAATATCTATACTTCAATATTTGAAGAAGCT